TTGTGTACAACCCCAATGTTGTTTAAAATGTAAGTAACAGTAAGCAATAATTTTCAAATCTCATAAACCCGTATTACATATTAAATGTCCAACTAAGAAATTCTACCATCTTGGAAAAATGTATTGGATTTTTTTGGCAACAACACATCTCAAAAAAAGGGGCCATGTTTACCACTGAAGCATCCATTCTTTTAACAACAGTCTGTAAACATCAGAGAGCTGTGGGTTTTTGTAAGGAAATGATGTCAGATTTTTCACTTGCTGCATTTCCGTTGACCATGAAAATGCGCAAATTAGAATTTTGAAAATAAATTTGCTCAATGGAAACACGTCAATTTCGAAAAAATTACGTTTTTCGACAAAAAATGTTTTTGCGCTAGGATGAGGTGGTATTTCGGCCGTATCGAAATTGGTGTTTTTTGCAAAACTGCAATGGAAACACTTTTTTCGCGTCACGGTAGTCACGTGATCAACAACCGGCTGTTTCTACTGACGAAAAAGACGATGACGAAGAAGGTAACAGGAAGTAGAAATAGCAGTAATATCAGAGAAGTAGAATAAAATAGTAAAATCACCAACTACAACTTCCCAAAAACACATCATACGTAGCCGCTCCCAAGTAGGGGCTTGTCGCTGGAAAGCCTCGATAAGACGCTGACGTCTCCTCTGAKGATGAGYGCTAGTGTTGTGGTAGCAACATGCTATGTGTTTACATCCATCGCCGCCATGTTTGTAATGACTTATCGCGAGAACAAGCGTATTCACGCGTGACTTTAATAGCATTTCTTACTTAATGGAAACACTGCAGTTGCGAAACTGTTTTTCGACATTAACAGAGTATCGACAAAGTTTTGCGCACATTTGCAATGGAAACGCAGCTTCTGATGTAGGATTCTAGCCATTCAACAGTAGGGACGCACCGATCCACTTTTTTTGGACCTCCGATACAAATATCTGAGGTTTAGTATCGTCCAAGACTAATCCGATATCAAAAAGCATTGCTCAGTTGACTAAAACATTTCTTAAACACAAAGAACTGAAGGCATGTCAATTCAGCACACAGACTCTGCTATCATGAAGTGAATGGTTGCAGTATGTAATTTAGCATTGTCTTGATGAATTAGACATTTCCTAAAAGAGGTGTCTGAATGGGCACACGTGATGTTCTGAAATGACCTGCTTGTTGCCASTTAACCTAAATAGTTGTAAAAAAACTACTCCAGCTGTTTCTTATTTATACTTTTTACTTTTGCAACATTTTGTTGCCCCTTTCTCAACTATTTTTAGATGTGTTGCTACCATAAATTCAAAATTAACTTGGTTTTATTTTTGTTTTTTGATAAGTTAGCTCCAATGAAATGAAATGTGTTTTATGAGATTTTCAAATCATTGTGTTATTTTTTTTTACTTAAATTTTACACAAGATCCCAATTTTTGGAGAACGGGGGNTATGTCAGCTTAAAAGAAATGCTAACCTTGTCATTGCCACAGACGTTCGCACTGGTTGTTTCATTTTGTCATTTGTTTTCACCATTCAATCATTCCTTTTGAACTGGTTCCAGCCCATAACTGAGGGTCTGGTGATGTTTCTTCTTGAGTTAGTTCTATTGGAATATTAAATATTTCAGTAAATACCTTTTCTTGGCATTCTAACTTCATTGTTTTATGACGTGCATATCATGTATAATTGTAGATGAAGGCATGAAACAAAGCTAACTTAAGCACCACAGACATGTTAGATATGTCAGTCATTAAAAGTGATTTTCTATAGTTACATATAATCCTGATAAATATGGAGACACAGACACACACAGTCAAATTCATGCTGTAGGACTATTTTACACCTTCTTGGACACAGCTCTGTATGTAAACTGACTTTCTCTCTCTCTGATGAAAAGCACAATTTCATCAAACTCTAAAGGCTTATCAGCGCTGAACAACAGAGTGAGAGATTTGAGACTGAGCTTTCAGTGGTCAGTGCCAAAGTTCTGTCACTGAACAGCTGGATTTAATCCTGATGCAGGAGAACTGCTTTTAGTTTAATAAGTTAAGTCTCTGAAGGACTTCATACAGCCTCCCTTCACTGAAATGCAGACTACCTTTCCATTGGAGGAGAGAGACTGCGCCCGCATTCGACTTCACTCAGACTTTTTTACTCTGAAACCTGCTCCTGTTTCTGAATGTAGGTCAAACCCCACTGGAGGTACTTGAATTATGTGTTTATTAAAGGATTATAACACATAGCATGCAGCAGCATGTTCTTATACTGATTTCTACTGCAGCTTAGTTCAAAGAAAAAAAAACTTTCACGATATTTTTAGTGTTGATCTACTTATTTATTGTAAATGAGCAGACAAACAAATTAGGTTTGCTTCTGCTACATTTTCTATTTTTAACTGTAGGTCATGTCCTAATTTTATCCTGAACATTTTACTTACAGTCAAACACGTGAAACATACACCCACTCTGTTTATTTTAAGAACTAAACTCAGACTTGTATGTAATTCTTAAAAAATGTATAAACAGAGTATTATCATTACCTTAAAAGATGTGTAGTTATTGTATTATTTGTCTTGATTTGTAAGCACCTTAAAGTGGCCTGTTTAAAAAAAGTATTTTGACAATTAGATTATTTTACATAATTCATCATTCAAATACTCATTAAAACATTCATATAACTTCACAATACATATTGCCTACATATAACATGTTGGAATAGCTCACATTTTTTCCTTTGGCTTTAGTCTGTAAGTGTTTTTAGTCCAGTTTGTTCTCTGCAGGTATTTGTGGCAGTCTGAGTTGTAGACATTGTTTCACATCCATTGTTTAATTTTAGCACCTTCACTCATGACCTTTTGTAAATGCTATCACCACGGCAAGGTTAGCATTTCCCCCTGCCGCGCTTTCTTTTTGAACCCTTTTCTTTAAAAAAAACTATATTTTCTTTTTCTTTAAGTACATAATGACAAACCCTTTAGTGACTTTGAAGAGTACGTCTTTAATTTGATATAAAAAACATTTATTCATGTGTTTTTACATTGCTCTTCAGAGCTCAACCTTTTTAGGTTGGCTTCATTCATTTTCCTTAATAACATTGAAAACTAAAAATKTAAATTAAGAAGTTGAAGATTCTTATAAAACATACAAGAGGAGGTAAGCGGGTGGGAAATAAAGTTGGTGGGTTTTAGTTTAAAGAAAGATGGGTGGAGGGGTGCTCACTCCCTCACCTCCCATCTTTTCTCCATCATCCTGATCAGCAGGTTCCAGGTGGGGCGGGGTGGGGTGGTTGGTGGGGTTTGGGGTAGATGTGACTGCTGCTTGTGTGTGACTGTGGTACAGAAAAGCCTGTGTCTATTTTAGGGCTTTACTGTAAAGCTTTCACCCCTGCGTGATTGGGTGGGAGACCCCCGCCATCTGAACCCCCCAAATCTGCAGGCTTCTAGCTGCAGCGGGGAGGAGCTGGAGGAGCTATGCCCCTCCCTCGTGAGTACACGCCATAGACGCTATTTCATTTCTATTTCCCTCTTTTCTTCTTCTCCTTTTTGTTCTTCTGCTCTTCTCTCCAACAGACCAGTGCAAACTTTTCTTTTTCATGCAGTTGTCTCCACATAGCTTCCTGTTGCATTAATACTCTAGATGTTTCTCTGTTAGACTCACTCTGGTGTTAGGTGTGTCCTGCAGATGGCTACAACTCATTTCTCCCTTGTAACTTCAGTTTATTACAGAATATAAAGACACCTTGTCTCAATTTTGTATTGAGACACAACACGATTATTGGCTCTATACCATACAAAATAAACATGTATTTATAGTGGAACGTCAGACTAACAAACATAGACCGGTTTGTTAGTTAGTCTGGACATCACTGTGTACTTAATGCTATTTAAGGGACCTCATTATTGACAGATCCCCTTCTAAAATTATTCTAGCTGGAAGTCTGTCTTTGTATGCTGGCCAAAATAAAATTCCCTGCTGCTAGGAGTAAAGCCTTTATTAAAACCTTATCAGACTTTTTGCTTTGAATAATTGAAAACTTTTCCAAAAACAGTTGTTTTTCTGTGCTTTATTAGTTGTGTATGTGTTTTAAAAGCCTACAGCTCGTCTGTAGTCTCTTATCAGTGAACCACTGGTTCACAACATGCAACATAAGGAGCATAAAAGCTAGAAAGTTAGCACAGAGTTAAATTATTTATCATATGAAGCTTGGAGTAGTGTTCAAATGAAGACTCAGACCCAGTGTGTGGGGAGTTGAGTTTGTAGAGAGGCACTTAAATGCTCTTAAGATGGTCGTGTTACAAACATTTCCTTCAGATTTGTTGGAATTGGATTTTGTTTTGTTCGAACCACAGTAGGTAATTTTAAACATTCCAAGAATTTGAACCTTTCTGTAACAAACTTACGCCTGAAGGGAAGTTGCTTCTTAGCCTCATTTTGCAGTGTTAGCAGTTGTGTGTCAAAAATCTTCAGTAATAAGCACTTTTTTTAAAGTGTGTTGCTTTTATGCACCAGTGTTAATTAGGATAATATAGCCAAAACAAGTTTATCTGAATAATGTTTCAAATAAGAGCGTGCTTTTTGTCTGTAATTCATAAAACGATTTATTTTTTGTTTTTAAACTTAGATTAAATTGTCTTTTACAGCTTCTGTCTGCATTATTCCCTGTTCTATATATATTTTTAGAAGTGTTTAAATCAGCCTACAGAGACCATAAAGATGAAGCTAGATGATCTTTTTTGTGTGAAGTGCTTTCTCTCTGTCTTAGATTTGTATAGAAATTTAGTGTAGCTGACTTGTTATTCTATTTGTCTAGATGCCCGTCTGAACCTCTCATTTATTTTGACTTCCTCAGGCTTCACCGCCATCACAGCCACCAACCCTATCTGGTTGATCAAAACCCGTATGCAGCTGGACTCCAGGTGAGGAAGCTCTGTTTTTATCTGTGGGCTGTGTCGCTTCGTTGGTTTTTAATGAGCGAAATAATAAATCTGATATTGTTGGAGTTAAATTTAAAATGAGTCTTTCTGATCACAGAAACCGGGGAGAGCGGCGAATGAATGCGTTTGAGTGTGTGCGGCGGGTGTACCAGATGGATGGCCTACGAGGTTTCTACAAAGGAATGTCGGCGTCGTACGCCGGCATTTCAGAGACCGTTATCCACTTTGTGATTTACGAAAGTATCAAGCGTAAGCTGCTGGAGTCCAGAGTCCACAGCAGCATGGACGAAGAGGACGAGTCTATTAAAGATGCCTCGGACTTTGTAGGCATGATGCTCGCAGCAGCCACTTCCAAAACATGTGCCACCTGCATCGCTTATCCTCACGGTACGCTTTTGTCCCAGTCATTACATTTATACCTCTTAAAGGACAACTCATCTATAAAATGTGTATATTTCCATTCTTTTGTTTAAGGAAGACACTTAATAAGTGTCGTAAATGTTAAATTATTACGAGATGAACATTTAGATTATTTGAAAAGAAGCACACCAAGTGAACTTACAGATGTTTTTTTTAAAGGGATCCCCGATTAGTTGTAACATTAGACTTTATTTGATAAACATAATCTGTAAAATAAAGATTGTAAAAATACTGTAGGATATTCAGTTTTTATCATTTTTAAACTAAAAGTTTAAAAATATATTACACGGACGGGGCTATTTAATTTACACTCTAAGCATTCTGGGTAAATGATGACATGGATAGGTTCTTGGTGCGAGGCTGCTAGTGAGCTATTTCCACCCTGAAGGTTAATCTTGGACAATATCTGACGATCGACTCTTTTAAATGAAACCAGAGAGCGTTGACAGAGAGGAGAAGGTAGAAATGACTCAGTCTGTAACTGAAAATATAGATGGAGGACAACAGAGCTGCTTCATGGAAGAAGAACCTCAACTTAGCCTGTTAGCTTTAGCATTAGCCCCAATGCTATCACCATATATATGTATTAGCTCAGTACACATTCTCCTCTTGTCACTGAGGTCCTCCATCCACATGACAGAGAGGGGAACGCTGAAAATATGGATGGAGGACCTCAGTTTATCTTGTTTGTCGCGCTAGCGCTGAGCTAATACATATAAGGCAATATAGTGTCAGTGCTAGCATAAAGGCTAACAGGCTAAGCTGAGGTTCTTCTTCCATGAAGCAGCTCTGTTGTCCTCCATCTATATTTTCAGTTMCAGGCTGAGTCATTTCTACCTTCTCCTCTCTGTCAACGCTCTCTGGTTTCATTTAAAAGAGTCGATCATCAGATATTGACCAAGATTAACCTTCAGGGTGGATATAGCTCGCTCACACCGAGGACCTATCCACGTCATCATTTTCCCAGAATGCTTTGTGTGTAAATAAAATGGTTCCATCCGTCTTAAAATATATTTTTAAAAATTTACAAAACTAAACATCCTACAGTATTTTTACAGTCTTTATTTTTCAGTTAAAATACTGTATATGTCTATCAAATAAAGTCTAATGTTACAACTAATCAGGGATCCCTTTAAACAATTCAAGTGGAAAGATATAATAGAGTAAAAGCTGAACCTGAGCTATCAAAGGCTACGTTCACACTGCAGGTCTTAATGCTCAGTTCCGATTTTTTGAAAAAATCCGATCTTTTTGTGTGAACGTTCACATTACATTTTAAATGTGACCTGTATCAGACCCCTGTGTGAACGCTACACAGCACTGATGTGACACGCATGCGCAGTAAAAGACGTGACGTCTCATCAGCCGGCTTGTTTATTTACAGAGCTAGCATGGATGCTACATTTTGCGCATCGAATCAGAAGTTGTTGTTTAATCAGAGCCGATTAAATAATTATCTGACATCTTGTTTAGTCAGTGTTTATATCTGAACCTGCCTCTGACCGGGATGCTCCAGTGAAGCTTTTTTTTTTTTGAACGAAACTACGAGCTGGAAAAAAGTATCGGCCAAGTATCGAACTTTAGGATCGATACGCTCCACGACCCAGGCTGGACATGTTATTATCAAACTATCTACGTGGAAAATGAAAAGTAAAAAGATGAAACAACTGGACTTGTGTTTAGGAGCTGTAAACACACGGAGCTACAGATTTAAACAGCGAGACTTGAGGTTAGTGTCTTATCGATCCTTCAGCCCCTCCTCACTGATGAAAAAGTCAGATGAATGTGACATGAGCGTTCACACTGCAGTCACTTTGAAAACATCAGATATATATCCGATTTAAAACCACATACTGAAACGGCCTGGGTCGGATTTGAAAAAATCGGATTTGTCGCGTTCAGACTGTCATAAAAAAATCGGATATGAGTCAGATGGGTCAAAAAAATCGGATTTGGGTCGGATTTGCCTGCAGTGTGAACGTAGCCAAAATGCACTCTACTATTGAGATATGTAGCTTTAAAGAAAACTACCTAAAGCAATTCTACACCCACATATAGTCTGCATTGATTTTAGGTCTGAGGTCAACCTGATCCATATGCAGATTATTTGTAGCTTAGTTGGTTTTGTCTCTTGTACGTCTGGTTGCATTGAGAATACAAAGAAACGGCATTTACAGCTCTAAATCTTAAAATCTTGTCAGAGAGAAACTGTCATGAAAAAAGTCAGACCTAAACAACCAGTGATTTAAGAATTTTAAAGCGATTTTCCTTCTTTTTTTCCTCCAACTGCAGAAGTGATTCGCACACGGCTACGAGAGGAAGGCAGCAAGTACCGCTCCTTCTTTCAAACTCTTCTGACGGTACCCAGAGAGGAGGGATACGGGGCTCTGTACCGCGGCCTAACCACCCACCTCGTCAGACAGATTCCTAACACTGCTATCATGATGTGCACCTATGAGGTGGTCGTCTATCTGCTTGGCCGTTAGCAGACGTCTCCTTTCTGTTTAACAAAACAAAACAAAACAAAACAAAAAAAGAAGTAAGCAGAGGACTGAGAGGGATGCTCTTTTGGCGTGGAACAGTGGACGTGTCATGTCAAAATGAAGACCAAAGGAAATCTGAAGATACTCGTGGACCAGAAATGGATGAAGACGCACAGCTTTTTGGTACAGGGGAGTGACGAGGCACTGAAAGGAGAGACACAGAAACCATTCGGCCTGTGTTGAAGGTGTTCAGTTTAGTTTTAAAGAAAATGCAGTGGCCTTAAAAGTATCTAGTTTGTATCCATCTGTAGGTGTGGAGGATAACGAAAAAAAAAACCCAGCTTCTTAATTTGTGTTTCAGACGTTGTGAGAGGAATGCATGAAGACCGCTTAGAGGGTTAATGTAGATCAGTTTCCAACCTGTTTGGCACCTTTGTCTTTATTAAACTGCACTTTCCCTTGTATTTTAAGGAATTTCCGGAGATTGAACCAGAAACAAAGTTGTCTGTATTTGTTTGGTCACCTAAACCGCTCTGGGTGAGGCTGCAGGAAGTCGGTCTTCATATACTCTCCTCTGAACACTACAGCTGCCTCTCAGATGACCAGCAGAGCTCTCGCTGGTCTGAAACACAAGGATGACGGTTGCTTGTTCACACAGCTCTGACACTAAGTTTAAAATCTGACCTCTAGTGTTTTATTCTTCTCAAGCTCATTGCCTCACAGTTGCATAGTTTTCGTTGTCGTTGTTGAGCGTAGACTTCAGTATTGACAGTATTTCCTTTTTAAAACTCTTAGGTTTTTTGAAGCAGTTTCTGCTCAGACTGCAGGTGCTGCTCAGGACTTAAATACTGCCTCTAAAATCAGAAGAGTGCATCTGTTTCAAGGCATAAAAGCGTGTTGAGTTGTAGCTGTGTCCTAAAGGTACGGAGTGTCTTCTATTAGAGTTGCTACTTGAATATAATGTGACAGTTTGGAAAAAATGGGAGGATACTGAGAGTCACTGATAGCCTCTGTGTGTGTGATTGTGTGTGTTTTAAAAAGTCGGACGATGTATTTGTGTTCAAGAGTGTGTGTGTGCCTGCATGTATTATAAATATTCACCAACTCACTGTTAACCTTGCGATACACTGCAGCATGGAGCCTGGAGAGGCTCCAGTGTGATACCAGGAGCTCAGACTTCCTCACCAGTGGTTTCCAACTGACCTGATGCACTTTGTGGCCTTTTAGGGCTTGTGCTTTGCTTTTTATTGTGTGGATGGATAAAACTTGTACATTGTAAGAAAAATCCAAAACAAACTGTATTTCAGATTTTGCGCAACAGTTCTAGCGGATGTATGTATAGTTTAGAGTTCTCAGTTGTTGTGAAGGAAAGATCCATATGTTTGTAAATAATATAATGTATATCAGTTTTTGTTTTCCTCTGAGCCCTACTTCTGATCATGCTGTAATTTGCCTTTGCTAAAGATTGTTTTTATTTTTGTGCAACTGAACCAGTTTTGACATTGACTGTTGACATAAATATTAGTATTGCTTGACATTTTTATTTGTGTATGTTACAGAAAACTGTCATATATATAAAAAAAAAAAAAGAATACATGCTGCGGATCAAATGCATAAATACGAGCGTTTGAGTCGGAGCACTGATGCTTTGTTCAGTCTTGTTCTTAAAAAAAGTGTTCAGATTTGCAAAGTTTGGTTGTTTCTGTCATTTGAGTTGTTTACATGTTTCTTTCCTCTCTGTCCATTTTTGTTTTCTTTGCAACTTGTTTTGAGTATTTTATTTGAGATGTCAAGAACTGGAGTCATTTTTCCAACACTAGGGAGTGAAAACAGCTGCTTTGGGTGGTTACAACCTTAGTAGTAACATTTTTAAAATCAGAATTTCCCTGTAATATTTGAATGTTGAGCCCTCTCTTGGCCTGTTGTTTTTTCATATAGAAGTAGTACACACCCACACCTTTTTTCTGTAAAAAAAAAAAAAGTGGGGAAAAAAACAGTTTTTCTTAAAACTAGTGTGCCTCCTCTCTTGAGGCATTCACACATGTTGTACTCCCCTTTGTTGCAGTCATTTCACAGACAACCAAAAGTATTTTATCTTCGTTTATTAATTTCCAGTCAGCATGTTACAAGCCAAACATTTTCTTTTTATTAAATTTAAAACATTGCTTATGTCCATATGTGTTGCTGTAAAACACTAAAAGCACAGAGTTGTATCTTCATCAGCTCATTTTCTGTAGTATTTGACTTCAAACAACCTCTTTTGGACATGAGCAGAGAACTGGACAATATGCAACCATTTCACCAGTTGCTGCTTAAATTGGTGTCTTTGGCCTGTATGCTTGGATAGGACTCAGCCTCAAAACAATCAGACTCAGAAGATTGATCTGGAGAAAGTCATTTGTGTTTTCAGTTGTTTGTTCATTTTTTTAAACACAAAAGCCAATAAAAATCTATTTACAACTACAATTCTTTACTAGTGTACATTTATTTCGTGTTTTTTGCGAGGATTTTAGCTATCATAGCATTGTGCTCAAGCAAAAGACGTCAGAAAGTTTATACAAATCTACTCATATAAGTGGAAGTTTTGTTAAAAAAATATATATAAGTAGTAGCACAATTTCACTACCCAATTACTCAGAAATGTTCGAAACTAATTTCTGAATTAAATATTAAATAAAACTTAACATATGTGTAATGACTGATACTCACCAGCAGGTGGAGYCCGTGTGCTTCTTGAATTCATAATCGGTCTAGTTTCAGTTTCAAATTAATCTATAAAGTAAACCATCATTAAAAAGCARAAGTGGACATAATTCTGTCTGATACTCAGGTATATTCCAAATTAATTGCACAAAGTAGTAAAAATATTTTTTAACAACTAGAAGTATAATTTAGATAACTTGTTTCCTTTTTATTTTCGTTTACACCTTCATAATTCTATATTATAATTTTTTTCTCAACTGCATTTATGTAAGTGACTGTCATTGGTTGTCACGTTTTTGTTAAAAACTCAACATTTAAGCTTTTTCTACTCACAGTTTTACCAACAAAATTTCAACTTATCTATTATTTATCTAATATTAATGGTCTGTCTACAACTGTATAGATTATTATAAAAAATAAAATTTTCATGTTAAAAACTGAGAACTGATCACTGTTCAACAAATGTAAATCAATCAGCTCTCCTGTTTTACTTGCACAAAATAATTTTGTAAATATCACAGCTAACATGCTTGCTGGTGTTTGTGAATAAACATCTTCATTGACTTCCACTTAACAGGTCACTGATTTGTTAATAAAGCTCCACCTGGAAAAGCTTAGGCCTTCAGCAACAACAAACAAGAGGGAGTGATGCCTTCAAGTACTGTAAGAAGTTTAGACCTGTGGAGAGAATAAAGTGTAGGTGAAGGGTACATTACATTTTTAATGAAATTATGTGAAATAGGAGAAAACAGTCTAAGACTACACCTTCCAAGGTAGCAGCAGGACATAAAATGTGAAACATATTGTACTTTGTTTTACTTTATTATGTTTATTTTCTATGAGACTTTTATTTCTTTATTTAAATCCAATTCCATACAGACATTACAAGCAAAACAAGTACATATACTGCAGTGTGCAGCTGCAGTGGTAGGAGACAAACTGAAAACTGATCTGAAAGTGGCTAAAAGATGCAGCAGATAATGAAGAAGTGTCACATTACATGCTGAGTGGAAAATGTACCTGAGCTGACATCAGAATGGACTTTACTGTGGTTGTAAGTGATACATGGATCTGTGTCAGCTTGGGTGAAATTAGACGAATTGTTGCTACTTTACAATAAAAATCAAGTGTCCACAAATCACATATAATCAGAATAAAATTTAAAAAGCAGTATCTTCTCTGCTTTGTGAAGTTCTGTATGTATAATATTAGTATACATTAGAAACCTCTCACGTATTTTTGTAGTAAATATCATAATTACATAACAACACCATAACAAAGAATGCTATTATGTTTTTCTATTTATCCTCCTTGTTATTTCTTCTTAATGAACAGCGGAAGCCCAGATTTGCGAGTGGCACTCGAACGCATCAAGCAAACCTGTGGACCAATCGCGTCAGAGTAAATTACGGCGTTGTGATGGAATCAACCAATCAGCGCTCGCTCTGCAGAGTAAATAGACACTCAGCATCGGTTCCCTGGATGTTTCGAGCTGCGGTTAAATGCAACAAAGAAAACGTCGTTCTTTCGTCAAAAACATTTGTAACAACGTAGGAGTTACGTTTTTGTCGCCAGCGAAAAAGACGAGGGGAGCCGGTTCGTCTCATTTCAGAAGGAAACCCTCAGAGTAAAGTAACCTTCTCTTCGGAGACGAGTTGAGTTTCTGTTCGGTAAGTGCTTCTGTAATTACACCGGATGGACAATCCGCAGGAATTGGAGCGCTGGATGACCTGAATGTTGTGTTTGGCTTCACAAGTGTTTTATTTCTTTTATGACTTCAGTTTTACAGTAAAAGCTTTCTTGTCCTTTGACGTCTTGACATTTAAAGTTTTTACTGCTTCAATGAAAACAGTCTGTGGCTCTGGTTACCTGAACGTGCGCGTGTTCACGTGCTGACCTATTTGTCGTCACGTCACGACGATGTCGCTGATTTGATTTCTAACATCAGTACATAAAAAAA